ATTGAAGATATTGTGGTGCAAAAAGAAGAAAAGAAGCTGCCCATGCCAATAACTTCAGAGCTGAAAATATCTCAGCCTGTGAAAGAGAGAGATGACTGGTTTCTGCTGCTGGATGTTGTTCCTAGAGAACCTACATATGTGCCTCCAGGTACACACAGCCTTTAAATGTCTTTTCACACATGTTGCACCAAAGGAGAATCTCAAGCTGTTTCCAGACATGAACTCTGGAAAATGTCCAGTCCAATTTTCCAAAGTTTGTCTTTCAAATATGAAGAACATAGTATTAGATTGTCTGGGTCAGATGCTTTCACAACAGTAGGAAAGTTTCCGGGACATTAAGGTGATGGGTCCTGAGTAGAGCAGCCAGGAGGCAGGACATGACGTAGAAAATCCACTTTGGGAATAACATGGGTTTTTTTTTAACAGCACATTGACCCCTCCGTCTGGCCTTATCACAAAAAGCTCTAGAATCCCATCTTCATTCCAAGTTGACATATTTTTCATCACAAGATATTTCTGATTCATGTCCATCACAACCCATCTACTTGGTTGCTGTGTGTTTTCCTTTCTTGCTCTTACATCTTCTATTTTACTTGGGGTGGCAGGAAAAGTTCCAGAAAATGTTGGGAGCAAGTGATTTGGAGATTTTTTTTCCCATGCACAGCCCCTCTTGAAGATTTCAGGAACATTTGTGGACACCATTGCATGTCTGAAAGCAGCTTTAGACTCACACAAACAACCCAGAAAAATATAAGATTCTTCACTTTTGGCTGAAGCTGATGTTTAAGTTGTTTTTTTTCAGTATCTCTGGCAGTGCCGAGCCAAATTTATCCAAGAGTTGAACCTCAGATTGAAGTGAAAAGCATAGAGATGAAGGTGCGTCAGGTTGAACTTGACCCGATTAGACCGCAGCCGCCCCAGACACAGCCAGAGAGGGACGACTGGTTTGTGCTGTTCGATGCTATTCGTGAAGAAACAGTGGTGGTACCTTCAGGTATTCAGTTGATCTATATTTGAACCCACGTCAGAATGCTCTCTGAAACATATTTTATGCCATTTTTTGTCTGAACACTTGTGCATTGGATTTACTAGTGTCTCTCAGTTCCCTTGACATTAATCTATTTGTGCCAGTTTCCCCTGATGAGATTATTGTGGATTTGAGGAAGACGCTTGAGGATGAGGTGACGACCACAGAGACTAGAACATGGAAGAAGATGATAATTGGTGTGGACAGCAGGCAAGATGAGACACGTTTGTCTGAAATCAGACCAATCCAAACGGCACCGCCGTCAGAGAGAGAGGGAGGAGATGATTGGTTTGTCGTGTTTGACGTCATCCACAAAAAACCTGTTTTCGTGCCACCAGGTACTTCATATCTCCAAAGGGTCTGCATACACTTTGCTGAAAGCCTGAAATCTGAAATAGCTCCGTCAAAATATTTGCATCAGATTTATTTACCTTCATGTTTCTGTGTTAGTTGCTGTGGTTGAGCATGCTGTCGATGTTTTGGCTGGGAGAAAGGTGGAGGATGTTTTGTCTATTCCTCTGGATGTGACCCCTAAGAAATCAGGTATTAACTGAATGATTTGTTCCTGCTATGCACACAGACAGCTCTACTTTAGTGTATTTTTCAATTCACAGTAATTCTTTTACATTTGATGCGCACCTGCCTTTATGTTTCTGTGTTAGTTGCTGTGGTTGAGCATGTTGTCACTGTTGTGGGAACCACTGAAAGAAAAGTGGAAGATGATTGGTTTATTCTTCTGGATTTGACTCCTAAGAAATCAGGTATAATTTAAATGATTTATTCCAGCTAAACATACAAAAATTTCCATTTTAGCTTTAGTATATTGTTCTTTGACATTTGAACAGACGACAGATATGTAATGAGTCATGTAACAGTTCTACTCATATTTAGCTGTAAGGTCATCTCACTGTAAATGCAGGTGTCCTAATCATTTTTACTTTATTTCCACAATAAAACCTGGTTGTACATTTGAATTAGTTGCTGTCGCTGAACGCATCCAGTTACCAGCAGAGGTCAGAGTTCCAACTGCCATTGCCAAAAAGAGGGTCACTATTTCCGAGACGAGACCTCAGTTCGAGAAACGGATCCTGGAGGAAAGACATCCGTTCATAAAGACACATGTCAATGAGGATTGGTTTGTTCTGCTAGATGTTGACTGCAAAAAGTCAGGTATTTTTGTCTACATGTTTTGTTTTTTTGGTTTGCAGGTGAACAGCTTATACATGTTCACGCTTTTCTCACTCCATGAATCGCTTATTAACTTTTGCAGCCTCGCTGTTGAAGAACCTTCTCACGTGCTTTGTTTTACATATTGAAGAACGAGTTTTCTCGCTCTCGGCATTTCATCAGTTTCAACCACAGTGAGCTTTTTAGCTCTTTGCAGCCTAACATCATCTGCCTTTGCATCCATCTTTGGATGGTAACAAGAACTAAACTGCGCTTTTGCCCTCATTCCTCTTTGTGAATATTCGCTTCTTGCCCAAGTTAACAAAGCGTTTAAGGTACAGTATTCTCCTGCAGTGTCTGCTTTAACTCGATCACATCAAGGCTTGAGAGTGTAAGTATGAAGTTTGCGTATCGCTGTTGTCCGTGTCTCTATGTGTTATAGTTGCTATTTCAATGTTCATTTTACTCACTGAGGATTTGATCATGTCTGTTTATAGATTCTTATCTCCCGATAACACATTGAGCTAAAAGATGTTTCCTTTTGCTCACATTTCCATTTGGTCTGTCTTGTGTCCAGTAATGATCACGCAAAGGGGTACCCGTCCTGTCAGCGCTCCGGTCTTCTCCCAGGCTGCTCTGGCCGAGGCAGGGATCCCCATGGCCCCCCTTGAGCAGCCCCAGACCTCCACTCCTATCAAAACCAGCCGCCAGGAGGAGAGAAAGCTGGAGGTCACTGTAGAAACCGTGGAGCCCTCAAAGATTGAGGACGTTACTGAGGACAAGGTAATTGATTCCTGTCATTACTGTTATCTCATTAAGTTGGAAAATCATATATAGTTAAGAGGATATCTGGTGCCAGTGAAAAATCAACAAATTATTTATGATGTGTCCTTACAGTGATTAAGGTATTTTGACTATAGATGATTATAGACATAGGAAATACGTTATAGCCGTTAACGATGATAGATGCTGAAGCAGCGAGCAGAGATTGTTCTCTGTGTCTGAGCATGAACTGTGTCTCTCTTGCTGCTGTAGCCAGCAGTGTGGAGGGACCAGGGAGAAGTAAACTCTTCACTGATATCCACCATCAATGGGGACATTCAGGTTAGTGTCAGACACTAGCCTCTTGCATGTCACCCATAGAATACACGATTTCAGCTGTGTGTGTTGAAGCCAAAAAGCACAGGATGCTAACTTGTGACCCTCTCTCCTCCCTGGGGTAGCACGAGTCAGAGGTCACAAGCACGGAGGTGGTGCGAATGCGAAAGGTCAGATTCTGAACCTCGTCTATGTCTCTGTAGCCATTTCTCCGCCTCCATTCTGATGATATCGAGCTTCTCATCCAAAAGACTAATTTCACCCTCTTCTCATGTTGTGCTTCCATACGACTAGGTCTTAAGTGAAACCCACGTCAGATTCGATGCTCATACAGTATATTATAAGAGGTAGAAGAATGTTCACATAGATATTGTACACAGTGAGTGAACATAACTTTAATATCAACAGATCATGCTTGTCTAAAATATGTTTCACACATAGTAGCTTTTTAAAGGTTAACAAACATTCATCTCTTCTCATTGCTTGCTGTTGTAAACCTTGGAATGTACACATGCATGATTATAGATTACTAAAAAGGGGCATGATACATGGTGTTATATCACATTTCTTTCAGTCCACCATTTCTTAGCTCATTATAAAAATGTAATCTTGTGTCAATCTTCTCCTAGAGCCTTAAGTTCATTGCTTCATTAGAACATTGCAGTTCAGCCCCAATGGTCATTTGTCCCCAAACTATTTTGCATGCTGTCTCCTCACAGCTCCTCTTGTCTGTTGTATTAACACGGTAGTGAACTTTGTAGTGTGCATGTCCGACGTGTGGCGGTTTGAAGCCTGCTTACACGGATACTGAACCAAACCTACACTTTTTTGTTCTTTTCATTTTTCACAGAAAAGAGCAAAGAAAATTGAGAGTGACTCAATTTATATCAGACATAGCCTTTTAATGTTGGAGGTTTGTATCCCTTCTGGAGACGTCTTATCCCGAGTTGTATTTTCTTGCTCTTTGGCACAGTGGCTCCTGTTTTAATATCACGCTTGCATGTGGCATGATTCACACTTCTTTGCATCAGTTTTAATGTAGATTACATGATAAATGGGTGTATGTGTGTGGCAACATGTGTGACTCTAATCTGGTTGTTTTCAGGAGAGTGCTGTTGAACCTGTGATCAGGGTTCCTACTCTTGCATTGATATACAAACTAATGATCATGATGTGGTCTAAACACAGACAGCGAGCGCTTTTTGATTTTCAACCCAGGATTCACAAGCTGCTCCATTGTTATATGATATTTATATTTTTCCCAGATCATCAGTATTCTCCTGTTCCTGCTTCAGCTTTCTCTACCTCCATTTTATTTTCTAACTTGCTAGTAATGCATTGCAATTTTCTCAGCAATTATACAAATTCAATCTTTTGACCATACAAATTATAATCTAAATAATTGGGAATTTTACTGGTATGTATGAAATAAATGAGGTTTGGAGAAACACTTACCATTAAGTTGCTCTTCGGCATCACAATAAGTGAACAAACACTCGTGTTCGTTAAGTAGAACAGATCAACTTGATGCTAACTGTTGCCAAATCAATGCTGCTGCTGTTGCTTTTGTTCATTTGTGCTGAATGAACAGGTTTCCATTCTGAGGCTTCGTCTCTGACAACTTTACCATGTCTGCCACTGTCTCCTGCTCATTCATTTGCAGCCTGTTCTTTCACAACATGTTTCACTGTGAGCCTAATGCTGTGAAATAGATCCTTAATGCTGTGTTGTGTAGTTCATAGACTCCACCCATGCTGAACGCCAAGTGATAATCAACTCTGATAAATCACGGCACAGACTCCTCTAAACCTTTTTCCTCTATAAATCAAAGTCTGGCCTCATTACTCACTGCCAGAATTAAATTACACTAAAGGAGTCGCTGATAATCTATCAAGAATCCACATAGTATGATCGTTCATATTAATTTGCCTCTCTAATTTATGTTCATTTAGAATCACAGATTAACCTTGCTTCTGCTTATATATTTAATCAGCAGTAAATCAATAAATTCTGCAGAAAAGCAACATAATCTGACTTTATTCTCTCCTGTCTGTTAATCTCTCCTTCTCTCCCAACTATGAACACACCATTCTATCCTTTCACTCCCCATCCAACTTTCACCACATATCCTCTCTTTATACATTTCCTCTGTCCACTTCCTGTTGCCCTCTTTCTGCCCCACCACCACCATCACTGTCACCTCACTGTCCTTCCCCCTCGACTTTCCTCTGCACAGGAGTTCGATAAGCCTCAGGAGGACCTGATCAGGCATCACGCCAGTATCAGTAAGCTAAAGAAGAACTTCATGGAAGCTGTCCCGGACCCCAGGCCCAGTGAGTGGGACAAGCGCCTGTCCACACACTCTCCGTTCCGCACCCTGGGTATCAATGGTCAACCTCTGCCCAGTGCAGATGGGGTAAGTCTGTCACAGAGAACACCTGCTGTCAGTCAGTTCTGGGATTGGATGAAATCATGCAAATAAATAAATTTTCAATAAATTAACTCAATAACGTCTTAAATTCCTGAACTGACTTTTGTGAAGTTGAACTATTGTGCCTCATCCCATTTGTTTTCCATGGTTTTACAATTTCAGATTCATTTCATTATTGTACTCCATAGGAAACTAAATCACAACACTAATATGAGCAGTATGCATGGATTTGTGATGGAATAGAAGAACCTGAAATTCTATTTCACATCTTGTGGTTGACTACAATTTAAAACATTAAATGTTGCAGAATAGTATATTCATTTGTATAAATTGAACATTCAAATAATCTGAGGCACGAGGGGAATCAGGCTCTTCAAGTTGCCATTCCTGTTCTTGTTCTCTGACATTTTGAGTGGATCATGTGTGCATGTACAGACCTATTCAAGACAATAGCATGTGGTATGTAACACATGCATGTGTATGAGGAATGCGGTTTGACTTGTTGAATAGGGTCTGTACTCTTGTTCTTTCACTGATGTGACTGAAGTGGTTGCAGCAGTCTGGGATGTGTTTAAAACTCTTGAGAGCTTCACTTTGGTTCCTCTTACCTGCACTGGAAGCATCTGAACCCTGACAACTTCGTATTGCATGACTGACAGTCCGGACTTTTGAAATTGTACTGCATGACTCAGAGATGACCACTCTCTTGAATATTTTGCACGTTCTGACACTGAGCAGAATTTCCTTACCCCCTCTCCTTCTCCTCTGCCTTTCCTTCATTGTGAAGCTATTTTAACACTTAACATTTATGTTAAGTCTTTTCATGCTGCTTTTACCTTTGTTGGCTGCTGCTTCCTCCAAGCATTCCTTGTTTTTCCTTTTCGAGACAAGGCCTCAGTCGTTGTTCTCTCTATAGTAAATGATAATATGAATTCCAATATGGAACTAGAATGTCACTTGGTTGAGTGCATACCTCTGCCAAAACCAAACAGTCCCCTTATGACACCACATTTAAATTTAAAACGGGTGAAAATGTCAAATAAAAAACAGTGTTGAGAAAGTGATCCTTTGCATCAGTGCCAAAATTGAATGGGTTCTTTTCTGGCCCGTGTCCCATCCTTCCAACAAGTTTCATGGAATTCCATTCATTAGTTTTTGCGTAATCCTGAAGACAAATAATCCAACAAACAAACAAATGGACCGGGTTGAAAACCTAATCTCCTTTGCAGAGGTAACCAGTACAATTGTGCTATTACTGGCATTAATAGTTGTAGTGCAGTTAGAATTATTACATTAAAGCTTTAAAATTTAAGTGGACCAGAAGCACAACAGCAATCTAGTTGAGTTGCTGTCTCATGAATAAACAAAGTGTAGTGTTCATTTTGCATGCACCTCAGAGACATCGTAACAGCTTGGACATAAACCAATTGGAGATTAAGACCCCAGAGTATAATCGTGTTGTCAGGATGCATTAAAGTTTCACTGAAATCAGAGTAAAGCTACTCTGAGGACTTGGAGCCTGCAGTGATGCTGGTCATCTAAGCTAACATACAAAGTGTTTGATGGAGAATAGTTCAAAATATGATAATAATAATAAATTGTTAAATGTTAAAGTGGAGTGGACACTCACTGTTTATGCTCAGCTTTGTTAGCTAATTTGTCTTTCTGTATAACGTTTAGTTGAAGTAAATAGAAATGGCCTGGCACAATTAATTAACAAAGGGGACTTTCACACATATCAAGATTGGTTCAACCTTTTAGACTTTTCAGTTTATTCCGAGCTCAGTTAACAGATGTGATACGTCCCTCAGACCATGGTCAGGGACATTTCACAGGGGGCCAAGACTTAGTCTGACCAATATTTAGTGTTTGGGATATTTCAGGTGTGAAAATGCCCTTAAATGGTGGGGGTGATTAATAACAAAATGCACTTGCAACAGGCTCCAAGCTACATCTAACACACCACGATACAGGAAATCTAGAGGGACTCAGTTAACCTTGGCTTATTGTAATAGTTCTTCTCACAAAATCTGTAAAATGCCTTCTTTTTTATTCCTACCAGTGTGGATGACTTGCTGCCTTTTCAGTCTTGAGTGCAATGTAGGACATGGAAATAAAATGCATGTTAAAATGCATGTTCCAATAACATTTCCATGCCCTGGAAAAAAACACTTACACTATGAGAGATCGAGATCTTTAAAGATAGGTCTTACAAGTGCAGTTCACTGTCGGTCATTACAGACATTTCAAAAAGATTCCTCCCTCTCATCTCTCTTCCCTCCTTCCTCCTCCCTCCCCCCTCAGTTTGTCATCCGCCTCCCGCGCGGCCCCCTGCTAGACTTCTACTCCAAACGCAGCTGAGGGGCAGCCTCGACCCTGCGGAAACCCCACACAGGTGTGAGTGTGACCCGTGGAGACCGCACCTAGTCGCACCTAGTCCATCCACCCATCAAACCTCTCGCTTTCTCTTCTCCTCCTTCTTTCGCCTCCTCTGCAACATCACTGTAGCATTCTTCATCCTCTCATCTTCTGCTCCACTCGAGAAGCTGCCCCCCCCCCCCACTGTTTTTTCTGTTCTGGCCTCCGTGGGAAAAGACTTCCATTACTTTTTGTTTCCCACTGCAGCACAGTTTCCCTGGTTTCTCCAGGCAGAAACAGACAGGTGCTCCAAAGACTGATTCAGACTGAAATGACAATCAACCGTCTACTATTTGCATTTTCTGTGGTTTCACTTCAACCTAAAAGATACCAACCATGATTACCTGACTTTTATCTGTTTTGTAATGTCAGACCATATCACTTTGAGCCTGATTTTATACACACTCTGAGGTACATTTGTAATGTCAGTTGTCTTCTGATATTGTCCTTGGATAAGCTGATCACTGTGATGTGATTTTATGTATATATTTACTTTTAGGTATTTATTAAATTCTTTCCTTGAACACACATGACGTAATCACTGGAAAACATTAATCTCAGACCTAATTTTATTCTGGTTACTGGGAATTTTCTTTGTCACAGTAAAGTGTTTCCTGTGAACGGAGACGTCAAGGCAGCTTAATTGTAATACTTATTAATCTCTTTGTCCTTCACTGGTTCTTGGCAAGACTTTAAAGAGATTTCTTGTTGCATGATGTTTTTGACAATCAACTTTGACCAAAGAATAAAAGGCATTCCATATACTTCAGTACCAATGAGTGTTTGTTCCTTTCAGGGAGCGTAGATTTTGTCATTCAAATTTCAGACTGGAGTCTATGACTGTACCAATATATCATGTCATTTTTGTAATCTCTACCTCTTGAAGATTCAAGAAAATCAATTTAATTCCGACACAGTGTCACTCATTAGACACAGTTCCCTTATGAAACCACATTTAAAGGTCCAGTGTGTAAGATTTGGGTGAAAGGAATCTATTGCCAGAAATTGAATATAAAATAATCCTAGGGATGTTCCATCTAGTGTGTTTCATCTTTATTGTACAAATTGTTGTTATATTTATCCTAGAAAGGGCCCTTTATATTTGAATACTTCTACACACTGAACCTTTAAATTCAATAGATCTGGATTTTCATTTGGATCTGCACAGAAGTGTGCACACTCATAAATATCTGTCTCCCTAAACTGACACTGGCATGTTTATTCAAGGTCAGGCATTAAGTGAAGATTGAACACTACTGTTTTTCCTGTAGGTCTGTTGTGCCTCATAAAATGGATACTGTGTGAAACTATTCACAGTTTTTTATTATTGTATAAATATCTTTAATCCTTGTAAATTCAACTTGTTATACCATATGGATAAGAAATATTTCACCTGCCCATGATCACATGGTGACTATGTTTTGTCTTTTCTAGAGTGTGTGCATTAGTTCCCATTGCAATGGTTCAGAGACAGAGGCTGCGTGTGAGGAAACCAGCAGCAGTTTGGGCTCATCAGGCGTACCCAGGCCCGCTGTGTGCCTCAAGACAGAGCCTGATAGAGTCGAGGCCCACGGTGCTCCTGTTGAGGAAGAGTTTTGTGATCAAGATGGTGTTGTAGTTTTTGAAACTTCATTGGTGCCCATCGTAGAGGTGGAGATGGCACAGTTGCCTGCCTCCCTTGAGCTCGACCGTAAATCTTTAGATGAGACCCAGGAGGAAGAAGAATCATGTCCTGCAGTGTCGGAGCGCTCTGGGAGGAGCGATGGTCCACAGGTCATACGCTGCTTCCAGGTAGTCTCCTGACTCCCTCAGGGTGATGCTGATTCTGTCTCTGCTTGGCCTCTGTATGATTTTATGGCAGCCACACTTGCTCACTTCTTTGCAGCACCATGACATAAAATCTGTGAATCTGTAATGGGAGAGTTGTGGTGTGAATTATGCCATTTATTGGTCAAATGTAACTGCTTGCTGCAGATGTGTTGCACAGTGGTGTGCTAAGTTCTTCTCAACTGAGGTGACGGGTCGCTAACATGAACACGTTCTTTATGCATTTATTTTGCTTTCATCATCTTTCCAAACCCACTTCTAGCTTTATATTTTCCGTTTCCCATTCCTCTGTGATCGCTGGTGGTGGGAAGAGAATTAACAGTTGTTAAGGTTTTTGTTTCTAAAAATATTAATCAAAAGAAATTTGGTGAGGAGAAAAATGAGATAAAATGGTTGCTGTGTGGTGCCAAGTGTCTGGTTAAACAGCCACTCATGGAGCTATGCTCCCATCCACAGCCCCCTCTGGTGCAGACCCAGACAGTCACCATCACGGCTGCCTCCAACTCCTCACCCACTGGCATCTCCACCACAGAGGTCCCTATCGTCCCAACCAAGACCATCACCTATGAGTCTTCAAAGGTAGGGGCTCCAGCACCTGCTCAGCCCAGATCTGTCTCAGCTGCATAGCATGGAGGGGATTGCAGCACAAGCTGACTATCGGCAGGTCTGGGAGGACCAGGCCAGGGGCTCCACAATGAGCATGAGGCAGCATAGAAACACCCCTGGCTGAAGCTCAGGGATCACATGATCTAAAATGATTACTCAGTCCACATTTTCTTTGCTGTTTGTCCTCAGGTGACAGTTGATGGGACAGACGAGGACAAAGACAGCACAACTGTGTCCAGCTCCCAGACCTCAGAGACCACTAGTGGCACCACGGTCACCACCACTACCACTCACATCTCAAAGGTCAGCACGACAAATCCAGCTCTTGCCTTCTTCAGTGAAGTATAATTTGAATTGCCTCTTGATTACATATTTTTTCTTCCCTCTACCAGGTAGTGAAAGGTGGATCCTCAGAGACTCGTGTGGAGAAGAGGATTGTCATAACTGCAGACTCTGACATTGAGCCAGAGAAGGTATGAACCCTCCACCCAGGACACTAAAACAGTACCAGTCAGAATATGGGATAGCTGTCTTTTGAATATGAAGCTAGAACCTGGACATGAATTAGCTTCGCATAAGTACTGGATACAGGGAAAGTAAAAGAAAAGCGAAGAGCCACAGTATCGACATCCTATAAATACATGTGCTCGACCAATCACGAGTCAGTGTGTGTATATATATATATATATATATATATATATATATCACATTCAATAACTAAATAAAACCTTCAAGGAAAAGTTGATGTTTTAGTTTGGTCCACTAACATGGAGGAGGCAGAGTGTATAACCTATACTCTAGCTAGCCACCAAGATGATCTGGCTTCACTTTTGTCTTTAGCTGGGAGCAGTGACTTTGTGGAGCCCTTATGCTAAGCTAAGCTAAACGAATCTGCTGCTAGCTGTAGCTTCATATTTAAATTGTCTCATCTAACTCTCGACAGTAAAGTGTTTCTACAGATGATGACGGCAGTTTTGACTTTTCCCATCTTGCAGGAGAAACATGGCGGAGCATCAGCATTGTAACCGAATCACCACTTTCATTTATTTCTTCAACTCTCCACCTCCGCTACCCCGTCATTGGAGTGCAGTGAGCAGCACTCACTGACCAGCTCGATCTCCGCACACAAATATCCAAAAAGAAATATCTCACACATCTGCAACTAAATGTATTAATAACCTGAGTAGATAAAATGTCGATTTGATTTTATTTCCCAGTCGAGCTGTTCATTGTAGGTAGAAGGCGGCAGCACAGGTTTTCAGTTTTTATTAAATGCTTATCCTGGTGTTCGAACAATAAGCTTAGCAAATACACTTTTATTGGTTGAAAGACAGCATTTTCAGTTATGTTTGCTTTTAAATGCTTTTATTTTCCTAGTTGTTTTTAAATTGTTAATTTTATACAAATGCACTGTCTTCGTGCTAGTTTAGACACAGTTTTCAGCATTTATCCCCTTGGTGCTGCGAGGGAACGTTAAGACTACATTCAAGGTAACTCTTGTTGCTTGCTTGTCTATTTAATTCAGGAGAGAGCTTTTTTTTTTCTAATGAAATGACATACCTCACATTAATATGTGAACAAAGATATTCTGTGCTTTGGACAGTTTGTTCACTTAGTTCACTGCTCAGGTACGAAAACGAAAACCTAAAATCTTTTTTTTTCCCAAACCAGCAAAGGAACCGGTAGCCTACGTGTCATTGTAAAGTTTGAATTACAAATTGATCTATTTTGAAATATTTCTCTATTTTATAGAATTGATGCTTTTATAGTATTTGTACAAATCCAGGTTTTTAAGTTATTCATATCCATCTTCTCATGAAATTGTAGGTTGCCAATGTGCTGTTCAAATCTTAAGTCTTGCCTGATGCCCTGAATCATTCTTATTCGTTTCCTCTTGTATTCCACCAAGTTTATCAAACCTTTCACAATTTACTTATGACAATGGAGTGCTTCCCTCAGCCCTGTTTTATTCAATAGCATAGAAGTCAAAATTGCTTTCAATATATTTGGTTGATTTAAAAAAAAAATTAAAAAAAAAAAGTTTTTCAAGCTGCGGTCTGTTTATCTCAGGTTTTGATATTCTTTGTAAGACTACAGACCTCCATGACTGTATGTGAAATGTCCATATATGTATATCCATCCCTATTACCCTACATTAATGTACATTTATGTTCAGCTGAGTGAGGTCAATTAATATAAAAGCTTGTCTGTCACAGCAAACACATGTATAAGAGGTGAAGGCAGCTCTCCCTGTATATGTGGCTTTTCTCTCATAGGAGCACAAGTTGTCTTTTTTACATGTTCTACTATACAGTAATTTATTTGTAAAGTAGGAAATGTTTCATGTGAGTTGATGTACTGTGATGTTTCAACACAAGCTGGTTTCCACTGAAGATGTCACAATGTTAAATATTCTATTCATTATCAACCAAGTTTGTAAAAGCCTTTTTACCATATAGTCTTAGTAGGTTTGCTCTCTCACTTGCTGTTTTCCTGGATCTTTCCATAGAGGTGGAAATAATTTCAAAATATACGGATCCCTTTTTAGATAGAATATTTGTTAGCAAACTTTTTTTTTACCCAAAAAAGAAGTCATTGGTATTGTAGTTACATGGACAACAACAGCAAAATCCCCTGGAAGAAATTGTAGAATTCCACTTGAAGAAAATTAGTTTTTAGACGATGGAAAATATTGTTGCTTTGTGACTTATCCGTCTTTTTATGAAAAAAATAAAATACGCATTATTTTGCATTCCGGTGGGCTGTGTGAGTGAAGCACATGTTAATGAGCTCTTGGTAAGACATAAATATTTCATGCAATTCACTTTTCTCACAGTGGATGTGGTGCCATGTTCAATCTACTTTGAGGAGAAATGTGTCTAGCTTGCAATGTAAACAGGATGAAACTACAAAAATGGAAAATAAGCCTAAGAATCAAGGACAAGCACAGCCACTGATTTTCAGGGAAACTAAACATTGCCAAAAAGAAGTGAAATCAGACAGGTCGATTTAAAAATGAGCTCTTATTCCATTTGGTTTCATACTTAGAAATATCACCGTTTACATACATATTGCAATTAACAGAATAAAATCTCATGCACATTCCAATATTTGCTCTGCAGTACACGTTTAAACGAGCTGAAGCATTTTAATAACAACTTGTATTTATTGAAAGGGGGAGGTGGTGACATTTCCTGTTACACTCAATCAACTGCAAATGAACCACAAAGCAGCAAAGTGCAGCAACTTCTGTTCAAATCAAACTGAAGAAACATTAGTTGAAAAATCTATGAAGAGATTGATCCTTTAGGAATAATTACGTGTTTAATACAGAAAAACCTGTTGAAAAACTGTGAAAAAGTGTATAGACAGATGTGAGTTTGGAGAACTGTATGGGCATTTATTGGGAGTGTGTAATCTGTTGCTCCAAACAAGTAGTAAACGACAAAGTCTTTGAGTCCACCATCTTTGTCAAAGTGGACCTCTAGCGAATTGTCTTGACTGGGCTCTTGAAACTTGATGCAGCCTGAAGTTGAAGTTGATAAGCCATCGGGTGAATCTTGAAACCGTAAAGCCTAAAAAAACAAAACAAAAATATGATCACTTCCTGAATGCAATAGAGATATATATTTGTAATCCTGTGATAAGAAACCAAGTACTGATATCAGTCAGTAAAAGGTCCACATTTGCATGAATAAATATCTGATGCAAGTTCAGCTTTCTAACATTACCACTACATTAAACTGATGAAAACATGTTAATAAAGTATAGTGTGTGAAAGAATGACTTAGTTAATGCTGGATAACGTTTACAATAAGTGACAGGAAGTGTCAAGTCAAACAGACCTTGGCACAAACTGGTTGGCTGGTCGCTTTGAACGATACTCTGGGTGCACCATGAACAGCATGTGGGGGAACCCTGTTCCAAAATAGGCTCCATCTGTGTGGTGATGTCTGGAGGATTTCGGGGTGTACACGTCCATACACTTTGGGCAATAGAGCTTCACCATTGCTTCTCCTGGGATGTCGGACAAACCTACACCAGAGATGAATGACGACAGTTTGTCTTGGTCACAAAATTAAGTGCAGCAAAGTTCTTGCATGATGTGAAGGCTGAGAAAAAGTCAGACTTACCAATAGGAAGCATTGGCTGATTCTCACAATAGACTCTGGGGCAATAGCCAAAATCCCCTTGCTGATACTTTTCCAACTGCGGAGAACAACAAATTAAGAAATCAGTGCTGATTCTTACGTACGTAAGAATCTGAAGTTAAGTGTGTAAGAGAAGCTGCTGTCTACCATTTGTGCAATGCCTCTGTTTGTGAGGATGTAACGTGCATGTATAAGGCCATAGAGCATCTCTGCAGCCTGCTCTATCAGGTCGCTCTGGTTCGGGTTGTCTTCGAGTTCCTCATCTGTCAATTAAAAGAAACTCGGGCAGTTAAATCTCTTCTCACCGCTTTGTCTAATTTTACATGACAACTTCCTTAATGGTCTCTCACCTGGCTCCAAATCGAGAATCATGTCCAGAGCCTGGCGATAGTGAGGCACCTGCTCATTCAAACCTGTCAGGTTGAATTTGTCCTGTATGTAGTCCTCGTCAACCTGTGACGAAGCAGTGGGCGACAAGGAATGGCAATTAATTGCATTAATTACTGTGGCAGCAGCACATTGTCACGGCACGCTGGTGTGGAAACATCACATAAGAGCTTAACTGGATTACTTTGATACTGCCAATAAAGAAAGCAAGGGGTTAAAGTTAGAGTTTGAACTGTGGCTCACACTGATGCCAACAGACACTGTTCCTAGTATTTTTATTTTAAGGGTTCCTTTAATATTTCTCATTAAGGTGCTTTGTGAGTCTGGCTCCGTGTGCTTCAGTGGGAAAGATTAGCAGCAAACAGCAGTTGGATGAACAGTAAGAGGCACTGATTACATTGTTACTGACTTAGTCTTGGTTGCCATGTATATGTTCAAGGTAAGGATATGTGACGTGCTGTTACACAGGAAGTGCAAGTCCAGGAGCATCGATTCAAGATACATCTGAGATTAAATATTTTTCCTTAGGACCAAAGTAAAACCTGAAAGGGGATGTGATTTGTGGGGGGTTAATGTGCGGTGTTGTGAAATTGAATTTCCTCTTCCAGTAAAATGAAACTAACTTAAAAAAGAGTAATGGTGAATATGACTTTTTCTGGTTTTGAATGGGAAATTTTCACCCACTCTTCATTGCAGTCTTACATTACATTTTTATATAATCTTGGGTTATGATGTTTATGATTCACCCACTGGTTATCAGTGATGTTCACATCAGGAGACTATGGCCAAACTACATTCAAGCTGCTATTACATAAAGCAGTATATTCTCCCAAAAAGCTGTAACCTGCAAATGCTTGATGTGTGTGTAAATTACTTAAACTGCAGATGAATTTACTGATTGACAGATTAGTCACCAATAACTGAGTATTTGAAAGGTTCCTCGTTCCAGCTCTACACACAGGCAGTAAGATCATGCAGTGTTTACATGTTGAGATGGCTTCGTGCTGAGCTCAGCTGTCACAGCCTGAAGGGAACAAGAGGAGGTTAAAAGATCCGGTGTAAGATTGACATGAATCCAGGAAACTGACCTCACAAAAGAACTCATTCCCTCTCAGCCCACAGAACCAGGAGATCCAGGACACCTCCTCGGAGCTGCTCATCCTCCTCACAGACCAAAACACAGTGGTTAGCTAAAGGCTAGCTGAGCTTCAAATTCTAGCGATGTCAACAGTGCAAGCACGGGTTTAACATTTGATTTACACAATATGAGCCAAAGGGTAAATGGTGACACACTGACGATGCGATGTGCGCTGTATGGAATCTTAAATGTACCTCTGTGTGTGTGTGTGTGTGTGTGTGTGTGTGAGACCTGCTGCCTGTTAGCCCTGGATTTACACGCTAGCTTGTATGCTAGCAGAGATTAACTTTAAAGAAACGTCCAGCAGACAGTGTGGACATGATCACATGTGAATGAGTCCCCTCTGTTGTATGAATGTTTCTGTTCATATAAAATCCCTGTACTCACCTTCTCTAGATTAATAAACATAAACTTTACAACTTGTTTCCTTTGACCTCCTCCACCGGAAGACAAGCACGGCTTCCGGTCACCCGAGGTTTTCAAAATAAAGCCACAGGAACAGGAATAAAACCACAAAATAAAAACTT